CTCCTCATCCTCCTCGTGCTTTTCCATATTGTCATCCTCCTTCCTCCTCGTTGTCCTCCTCCACCTCCTCTTACTTCTCACCTTTTTCCTTCCTCCTTCTCCTCCTCCTCCTCCTCCTCCTCCTCCTTTTCCTCCGATTCCTCCTGCTTACCCCTCTCGGGGCATGACGGCCTCCCCACCGCATTCTCACACTGCATGATTATCCACATCCCTGGCCAGGTCAACTCTCCAAGGCACCGCTTCTGGATGAGAAGGTGGGGTTACTTGTTTTCGCTCGCGAGCGTCGCAGGCAGCTGCGCGCCGTCCCAACAAGTCGTAAAGCGAAAGTCCGGCACAGCGCACTTGAAGCCGGCGACACGCGGGAACCTATACAGGCGAAACACAGAGGCAACGCCAGAAGAAGGAAAGCGGAGTTATTTTTTTGGTCACGGCCGCGAGACAAGGGTCAGGCGGCGAAAGCAGAGTCCGGGGCACGAACGAGGCGACTTAGCTACAACAGGCACAGGCCGGCCGGCCCGCTCACAAAGCAGCCACGAAGCTGAAGGGGAGCTGACGCCGCAGGTGTCCTAATCCTGACAGCTCGTGCAGTGCACAAACAAAAAAAAGGTGGGGCAACTTTTTTTGGTCGCGGCCACGAGACAAGGGTCAGGCGGCGAAGGCAACGTCCGGGCCACGGGCGAGGCTAATTGGCTAGGACAGGGGCGCCGGCCGGCCCCCTCAGACGGCAGCTGCAGGCTGGGTGACGCTGAACTGGCTGGCGCACTGCAAGCTCGGGCACGCGCACTGGACAAAATGACCAGAATTCAAGTGGCCAACGCAAGACCCGCGCAGGACCCGCGGACCTCAGTGGGCAAGTCATTGTGCAAGGTGAAGATGGGATGGCCACAGGGGTGAGTCGCCGATGTGGCGCTAGACTCCAAGCGGACGACCTGCGTAAGTCAAGCCGGCTGAGCAGTCGTGGACCGTGGTGCAACGCACTGGGGGGGCTGAAGGTGGGCCTGAAGGACTGTACCTGACGCTGAAGGCTGAACCACTCAGCACACTAGCCAGCCCCAGTTAGACCACATCACAGTGTCGGGGGGTAACCGTGCGACTGTGACCCATCCAGCGCGTGCCGGCACGGCGAGGCCACTGGGAGTGGGGGAGCCCGATGGCGTGGTGAGCATCGCCGGCGAAGAGGTAGAGATGGAATGCACTGGAGTGGTGGTACCGCGGGGCGAGCAGGACCCGATCAGAGGGTCTCCAAGAGCACAAGTTGAGCTATACCTCACGGGGCACAAAAAGGTGGGGTTACGCGAAGCGTCTCGTATTTGTAAGAGTTTCGCGGATTGGAGACTGCTTTTTTCAAAGTGTGGCTCTCGCCTTAGCGCCGCGCACCTCTATATATTGAATTACGCAAGAGTTTCACGGATTCCCGTGGTCAAAGTACCAGGGATGGAGCTTTGGAGCGGTTCCAGATTGTCATGACAAAAAGTGGAGCTGATTCACGGCGTGAGGTCCCAAGAATGGCGTTCTGGCGCGATTCTGGATCGTCAAGGCGCAACAGTCAAATGGACATGTGGCGGCGGTGTCCCGACAATGGTGCTTTCGCACGCTTCAGGATATTCAAACGGTTGTCTCCCAGCGGGGCACTTTCCTCAGTGAAAACGAATCCTTGTAGGGGCCTGTGAAGGGGGAGCTTGGAGGGAGGGTTTGCTCCAACCTCGTTGATGAGTATTGGGTTTGCACTGGTCCTCCTCCTCCTCCTCCTCCTCCTCCTCCTCCTCCTCCTCTGTTTCGTCATCGTTCCTCTTTCCCTCTCCGAAAGTGAGTAACGGCTGCCCCCTTTTCTCCCACTGCATGCTGGTACACTTCCATGATCCGAAGAATTCGCCAGCGTAATGCTTATCTTCAGATGGGCGGCCTGGCCGGCCGCTTATGCATAATTGACAAAACATAGAGCTGGGAACCATAGTTCGGGAATCTTTGAGGGACCACCGCCGTTCCAGAGCGCTCTAACAAGCTCTGAGGGCTTCCTGCGGTTTCCTGGAAAAATGCATCCATCGTTGAACCAAGCCTGCGCCTCAGCTTGGGGAGCAGCCAAGTTCAATGCCACGCCAGACCTCACCAACGCGTTGCAACTGCGGGAGAAGCACCCAGCTTCGGCACAAAACGCCATTGACTATCACGCCGTCTGACAGACGACGCGCGCGTCAATGATACTCTTCCCTTGAACAGCGACCAGCAATCCTCGTGCTCCTAGTGGCCTGCCAAGACATGTTCTTAGATTCAACTGCTGCTCTCATACCAGGAAACTAACGGCTCGTGTAACATGGCGCCGGTGTTGTAACACAATCCTGTCACAGCCAAAATGTTTAAGACGCTTTTCGCGATTGGCAAACTACGAAATCTGACATGTATTGAAGGGCTTGTTGGCTGGCCGGGACGGTTCGCCACTGCTTGGTACTCCAAGCCCGATCACCGGGGCCGGTGGGGGGGGCACACGCCTCTATCAGTCGTTTCTCGTCCTCTTGAGCAGGGACCGGCCGTCCCGGCATTCGTATAGTCCTACCACGAATTTCTCAGAACCTAACACATGTTCTTAGAAGGACCAAGTTCTTACAACATAAACCCACTGTGTTAAAACAGGACACTCCCAGCCATAAGTGTTCTGAGAACATCTCGTGGCAACCACACCAGGTTCTCAGAACATTGTTAGGTATGGCTATAGGCGAACCAAGACGCTTCGCCAGTGCTTGATCCTCCTCCTGTCCGCATTGCGCCGAAGCCTCGCACGCGCCCGCTGCCCTGGCAGCGCGAAGGCGGCGGCCAACGACCTTCGCATGTTTGTTTTCCCCAGATACCGACTGGTGGATCGACTGCAAAATTGGCTTACCCCAAAATGTATGTCCACGTCGGCTTTTCAACATGAGTACGTCAAACTTTCGTATAACTGCGACATTTATACGAATTGCCCGTGGATTCGACACGAAAATTGAATTCTGGGGCGAATCAATTCTATAGTCGATCCCCTCATGGGGGGTCTGGGTCAGGGGCTGCGCACCGCAAGCAAGACAGGACGGGCCAAGGGTGCTTCCTGTACCGTGCGGGACCCCAGCGGCGGCCAAGCGACCGCGGGCTGTCCTCGTAATGGTCTCCCCGATGTCGCCCGGGAGCGAGCGGAAGCAATCGCTCATGAGCAGCGGGAAAAACGAGGAGAAGCAGGACCTCGGCTGGCCACGCCCGCGCCGAGATCATCGATCATCAATCGAAGACCGACAGTCGAGGATCGACTCATAAAGGATCAACCCGAAGATCGACTCGAAAGGACAAGCGTTGCCACAACATCGCCCGACTAGAAAGAGCAGACTTTACCCTTCCACCTCCCCCCGCCCTGACATTGGCAGGTGTTGGGTTCGGGATATTGGGTTCACGATTTGTCAGGCCCCGCTTCTCCCAGGAACGCTGGATCAATACTAAGGTGCCCTACGGCCTCCACTCGAGCGGCCCATGATGGGCCCGCCCCTTTTTTCCCCTCGCGGGGGCCTCGCCCGTGCGTCACTTGCACTGGGTGCAACCCTCTGGCCATCCGCGCAGCGGCCTCGCTGCTGGCCCGCCCGCTGCCCGCCGCCAGGACCTCTCGCAGCCGCTACAGGGCCGCCGCCCCCGCCCGCGGCCGCCGCCGGTTCACGCTGCTGCCTCCCCTCCGCCTGGCGCCACAATTCTCCGGCCGCCCGCTGCTCACGCTCCTCTACCTGCCGGGCCCCGCCCGCACTGTGGCTGCTGGCCCCGCCCCTGGGTGATCTGCGACGCCGACCCGCGGCAGTTGCCAGGGGCTGCCCTTCAGCCCTGCCGCCACCCGCGCGCTCGGCCGCAGCCCTGCTGCGTGAGAGTGCCCCCGCGCCGGGCTCCCCTTCCTCCGCGGCCGCCCTCCTCCTCATCCTCCTCCTCCTCCTCCTCCTCCTGCTGCGGAGTCATTCGCGTAGCCGTGCCCCGGTCTCGGCCCGACGCGCGTGTGGATCGCCCCTGCGGCGCTGCGACGTAACAAAAAGTTCGATCTTGAGGCCAGTGGGCGGAGGAGAGTCATGCGAAGTGGCTCCTAAACTTTGTTACAAAGTTATTTCCTTGAACGGGGTCAACGGTCTTCGATGTATGATCGACGACCGATGAAGGCTTACTTGTGTGGAACGACGATCGACGATGCGATGGCAGCATAGCGCCAACTCTGCACGCAACGCACATCGATCCTGGTCAAGCCCGAGCTGGGCCGACGATCGGTGCATGCGCCCCCCCCTGGCCTGGCAAGAACCGGCATGTGCACCGACCCTGTCCAAAGGATCGCAACGGCTATACTCCGTGCACGTGAGCAGCAAGAAGAGACGGGTCTTACTAGAGGCCTCCCAGATGGGGTCGGAGTAAATAGGGTCAGAGGATGGCACCGCATCGCCGATACATCGGCGATGCACTGGCGCTGCATCGGTGATACACCGGCGATGCATCGCCGACGTCGGCGATGCGACGTGAAGAAAATAGGGCCCCACTTCGAGCCGCATCGGCGATTCATCGGCGATGCATCGCCGATGCGGCGCGATCCTCCGACCCTGTCTACTCCGACCCCATCTAGGAGGCCTAGACTTACGCGATGGCATAGTGACCTTACGCGGTGGTTTAAGCGGGCCGCCAGCGCGGCAAGCTACTCTCAAAATGAGGGCGCTTATGCGCGACCTTACGCAGACAGCTGAAGCGTGAATGTCTGCGCAATCGGCCTCATCCCCTGGAATGAAGCGGAGGGGGAGAGGGTAGAGGGGCAGGCTGGACCAGACTGGGCTAGCGTGGAGCTCAGGGCGTCGGAATCTACACCGATTCCTCTGAAACTGCTGCGCTGCACTGCTGTGAACTCTGAGTGGCAGCGCCACAGCGGTCGTCGCGCACTGCGAATTCGCCTGTTCCTTCGCTAATCTAACTATCTGGCGCTGCTGCGTCTGGCCGCGCCGCCGCCGCCGAGGACGCCAGACGCGGGTATGTGGGCGTGCTCCAGCTGAATGGCTTAGGATATTAGGGAGGCAACTTCTCGGAGGTCTTTGTAAGAACGATGATGGGCCGCTAAGCCCGATTAGGGGATACTGTGTAAGCCTCACACGCCAAAACTAGATCAAATATTGAGCCCGATCAAAACGACTGAAACGGGATTCGGCGGGATTAGCTGGTTTTCGACCACGGCCATTCAAGCGCCAGTACTGAATTGAACCTCCGAAGAGTTGCATCCTAAATGCATGGTGGCCGTCGGCCAAAAACAATTCCTGCTGGAATGACACCGCCATGGGCAACGAGCGTAACTGGCTCCCGGCAACAGCTCACAATGATCTCTCCCACCGACGCCTTGACCATCGCATTGAGCAGGGGCCGGCCGCCTCGGCATATTCCTGTAGGCCTACGGCAGCGTGTTCTGAGACCAGAAAGATCTGCGAATAGCAAGATCATGCGTTTAGAACATAAAGCCGATGTCTGAGAGCCAGACTGTGGCAGCCAGGCACGTTCCCAACACATGCTGCACGAACCAAATGCTTGATGGGCCTGCAGACAGACCGCGACACTTCGTCACTGCTTGACTGTATCAGTAAGTCGCGCGAATGTCTGCCATGACCTCGCTTGCTTCCTGATGAATTGTGCTGCTGCTCATGTTCTCAGACAGGAGCTGGTTTTCACCACGGGTCGCTTCTCTAGGCCCCAGTGCCTGGGAAAGGCGGCCCCTCCAGCTATTGACGGAGTGAACAGAGCACGCCAGCAGCGAGGCACTTTCGGACGCTGACTCGGGCCACCTATCCTGCTCGAATCTCCAGAGTGGAGAAAGCACACAGGGCGCTGGAGGCTGCCAGGGGTCTGAGCAGGATAAGCCACGTGAGAATCGGCCAAGATGTCGCACAACGTCGGCTCCCAGACCCCAGACCCCTGCTCGGGTCGAAACTGACAAGTTTTTCGAGCAGCGCCCAGTCGTGGCAACGAGGGGGGGCCCCGTTTCTCCCCACTTCTGGTGGCCAAGACCTGTGCTGGGCCACCTCCGCCCCCCCAACCGGCTCCAACCGGAGAACTCGTCGCAAACCAGCAGAGCCCCCCCGAAAATGCCCGAGAGCACCTCGGAAGAAGCGAGGTGGCAAGCCAAGAGGCCGCTCCCCCCGCGGAGGGGCAGCGGACAGGAGACCCCGCGCGGCCTTGTCCCTGGGAGCCGAGACCTGCTGCCACACCCAGATCGCCAGGCTCCGAGACCGTCCAACAAACGATACAGGACGAAAAACCGGTCCCCGGGAAGTGGTCCAGAGCTCCGGGGACCCCGTAATGATTTGAATAACGACAAGACGTAGCTTTGGGCACCTCTATTCCCCATCCTTCCCTTCTCCATCCCACTTTCCCCCCGCCGCGCCGCCTCCCTCCCCCTCCTCCTCCTCCTCCCCCTCCTCCCCCTCCTCCTCCTCCTCCTCTCCCTCCTCCTCGTCCTCCTCCTTCTCCTCCTCTCCTCCGCCGAACAGGATGCGCGCGAGAAGCAGGTCAAGCAGACCGCAGCCAGGCTCGCGCAAGCCAAGTTCGACGCCCAGCGCGCGGCCAAGGGCGAGGGGGCGGCAAACTGGCCCATGGGCCCGCAGGCCGCCGCCGCCTGACCCACGGAGTCGGCCGACGCCGCCGCGGAGCGCCCTTGCCCATCGGTGGCGTCTTCTCGCCGGTCGAGCTCGGCCTTACTCTCGTGCAGGTTCTCGCAGTCGTGCGTGAGGCTTCCCAACGAGGGGGGTGAGTGGATGCTGGCGCGAGGGAATGTGCAGGCACCTCAATTGATAGATCCAGTGAGTAGTCGGGCTCTGTGCATTCCCAGGGACATGCCTGTTGGGACGGGGTGTGTCCCCACGCTCATTCATTTTCAAGACTTAGGAATTGCAATGTGCTGTTTTTACGCACATCCGTCAGTCGGCATGACAAGAGCAAACATTGCGCGTTCCCACCATCACGGTTCCCTGTTCACTTCGTTGCAAGTGCCGTGGACAGTTGCAGGTGATTGGAATATTACACCTCAAACGCTGAGGCGTTTGGTGTTTTTAAAGATTTCGTAGGCGGCCAACTCACGCAAGACCCAGATTAAGTAACATGCAGTCCTAGTCAGGGTTCTCATTTTGACTATGTGTGGTGTAGCCATTGGGCTCGGACCTATGAGAAAAATGTTTCACCAGCCTTGGATGTGATGTCCCGTGGGAGCCTCTCTGGGACTGGCGGTAGAGTTTCATGCTGCAGGTTCGCGAATGATTACTCTTACGCTGTCCTTGCCAGGTAAGCTTCCGCAGGCCGCGCGCCCTCGACAGTTGGCTACTCCTGGGTCTAAAGCGTCTCAGACAAATGCCAAAACAAGGGCTCGGCAGGCACTCGCGAGGCAACGCAGGATTGAAATGTATGCTCCCATGTCTGGGGACGTCTTGGAGGCCTCTCCCATAGATGAGCCTCCAGAGAACTCGGAGAGGGACTACTGGGCTTTTCTAGGCGCTGCCCCAAACGATTATGGCGATTGGTTGGGACTTCGAGGAGTGGCCCGGAGAGGAGTGGTTGGTCGACGAATCGCCAGCCCAGTCGCCGTGTTTTTTGTATAAAAACGAGCCCCCCCCCCCTCAGCGTTGACGAGGCCCTCGAAGAAACCGCCATGCCGACTTTTCACATTGATCAGTCCCTGTGGCAAGCCGAGCGTGTTCAGGTCGGGATTGTTCCTGGAGCCGTCTGTAAAATACATGACCACATCGCCTCGTCCATCTGTTACCGTTTTGGCTCGAATCACGTTGAGGCTCTCACGGGCTTGTATGCGTCCTGGACCACCATCGTGGAAGCCGTCACATGCACGCACCACTCTTGTGATATCCCTTCTGGCCCGAGCCGCGCGCAGGGACATCCGTCGCGACTTGGCGAGTTGCATCAGGCGGAGCATTCCAGACTGCGCCCTTTCAGGACGAAGTGGCACGAAGTGGCCACTGGTGAACTCGTCTTGCCACGGTGGTGGCATCCATATCTACTCATCGTGAACGTGACAATGGACGGAAGCAGGTGCAGGCTTTGTCGGCGGCGATGTCTAAGATGTTGGGTGAAATTCCTGGTAAGGCAGAGCAGGTGCTGAAGCAGAATGGCCCATCTTGGGCTACGCTTCGCAGTTTGCAGGACTACACCGGCATCCAGCTAGGGCGCATTGATGGGCTGGTGCCTAAGGACAGTAGGCGGGCTCAAGGACGAGCGGTCCGTTCCTGGCTCAACCTTTTCGGAGCCTGGGTGGACAGCCCGTCGGCGCTTGGCGCTCTTCATCGCAGTAATCGTGAGCGGGTGCTGAAGCAGCAAGATATTGTTGTGGGAGATCGTGTCCTCTTGAATCCTATGGACATTATGGACCACAAGCGCATGCATTGGTGCGACGTCGGGTGTGCACCCGTTCTTGACTTGTCTAAGCTGGAAGCACAGCTTCGTGACGTATGGATGTCAGCCGAGGGAGAGTCGACTTAACTTCGGCCTGCGTGCGAGACGTAAGAAGATGCGACATACCCTAAGCCAAGGAGTGGATCGGCCTTCACCATTCGACTGCTAGAGGCTACCTGGTCCTGCCCCGGAGGAGCGCATTGGCATCTACAAAAGCATGGAAGCATGCCTTGCGTGGCCAGCGCAGACCCAGCTCCCTCCACCTCCTCCCTCCAATTCCTCCACGCTCGCTCCATTCCACCCCTTGCCTCTTCACTCCTCTTCCTCCTGTTCCACCTGCTCGTCCTGCGCCCTTCCCTCATTGCCCTCCTTTTCGCCTCTTTTCTGCCCTTTCCTCTCCTCATCCCCTCCCCCTCCACATTCCCCGCCACTCCACCTGAAATTCCTGAAATCCACCAGGACTTTCCAGAGGTCCCTAGAGGCCCCCACGGAGGCTTCTGGAGGCCCTCCGACGCCCCTGAAGGCCCGAGAGAAGGGAGGGGGGGAGGAGGGGGAGAGGGGGGAGGGCAAATGCGTCCCAAAAGCTCGATCCGCCTCCTTCCTCCTCTTTCTCCCCGTCCGCCGGAGCGGTCGAGGGCGGGGCTGGCTGATGACATACAGGAAGGACATGACGAACACGAGGGCCGCCAGGGACCACTGCCACCGATCTGGCTCCGCCTGACGCATAGCCAGGCGGGCGGGCGAGCGGGCGGGCGAGACACGTCGTCGTGGGCGAGCCGGTTGGGCGGGCCAACGGGCGGTCGGACCACAGTGTCGTCGTGGACAAGTCGGTCGAGTGGGCCACGTCGCCGTCGTCGCTTGCTATCGCGGGGGAGGGTCCCCCCCCACCCCTCGACAGGGGGGAAGGACGGAGGAAACTGGATCAGACAGGGCGCCTAACTTCGCGCGTCGTGCTGTGCGAAGCGCGCATCATTTCGCGCTCTCGCGCCGCCCCCCAGGGGAGAAGAGGAGGATGAGGAATCGGAGACGAACCGCGAAGCGCGAACAACTTCGCGCCCTCAAGGGCACCCTTGATCAGAGGGGGCAACGCGGTCGGCATGTCGCTGCGACTCGCGCATGCCGCAGCGCCTGCGGCCGCTCTGGCCTCCGCTGGACGAGCGTCGCCACCACATCGAGAGTTCAGGGACACAGGACTACCCAGACGTGGTCGCGTCGTGAGACAACTGCGACGAGAGGTGTTCTGCGACTTTCGGCATCAAAAGGTCCTCGCACAGCCTTGGAGACGTCAGACAACGAGAACGGGAGGGAGAGCGCTGCTGCACTCGAGGCCTCTGCTGAAGGCCAACTTTCCGCGGTCAACAGCATGCAAGACGAGGCTTGCGATGGAATGGCGTAATGCTCACACATGTGATTCTTACAATGAGGCGCGGGCCTGCAAACACGAGAGGTCATTCCACATTGGACGTGTATCAAGCGATGCCTAGGCGATAACACTGTGACTATACATCCGCAGCACGAGCACCGCTAAAGTCACACATGCGCGTATAATGAATTTCGCCTGCAAGTTGCCAAACTGACAATGATCACACCTTGTCGTGGCTAAGCTTGCATTTGTGCTCAGTAGGCGTTGCTACCCGCTACGTGCAACAATGACAAGACAGCTCGCCGCTTGGTCCTCACCGCCGGCCTGAGCGGCGAGCAGAAATTGGGCGCAACCCTGGAGAAAATGTGAAAGCAAACCAACATGTAGGGAAACGAAATCTATACACCGACGCTTTTTCCGACCCTGCGCTGACATTCGCACGGGAGCACGGGTCCTGGTGTATACATTTTGCGTTGTCCCCCTGGGGAAACGGGGAAACAAGTATGCACCACACCACCCCGACGTCGTCCCCGACCCTCAAAAATCCTAGGATTGAAAAACAGCCCGCCACTGGTAATGTATAGGTTCCAATTTCCGAATCTGGGCCATAAGTTGCTTACATGAACCATAAATGGCGTAGTAAGATGCACCAACCATGGTTGCGCAATAGGTAGCGCCATCCGTAGAATGCGAGAAACAAATGTGCACAATATATTTGCGCCATGGATTGCACCAGAGGTTCCGTCACAGGTTGCGACATCGGTTGATTGCGCGAAGGTTGTGCCATGAATTGTGCAGTGGTTTGCGCAATGGTTTGCGCCATGGGTTGCACAATGGGTTGCGCCATGGATGGCGTCATCTGTTGCGCCAAAGGTTGCCCCCTTGATTGTGCTATGGGTTCAGCAATCGAATGGGTGCGCTCATGGCTTCGCCATGGGGTGCGAAAGAGCCCATAGGGAACATTGGTCGAACCACCTTTGGTTCCGCCCTATGTTGACAGAATAAAGAAAACTTGCGATCAATTGCACCATCGAATTTGCCCTCACCCCCCGAAACGGAAACGGCATCTGACGGGCACGATCACTCAATCAATAAGTCAAACACATCCTGGAGAACAAATCTCGGCTATCCGAATTCATCTGCTTGGAATGCTGGACAAAAAAGCCGTTGCGACCCTCACCAACGTCTGGACCCCTTCCCCAAAACTGGCTTGTCACCCCGGGACGTTTATTGACAGTCCCGGGGCCCGGTGCGGGCCCCGGAGGGCCTGAAAACGGCCAGAAACCTTCCGTCTCGATTCTCTGAGATCTGACTTTGGAAAAAAACTGCAACATCGCGAAAAATTACGACTGGAGCCCGAGACCCAATCCTCCTGTTGCATTTTTCGAACCCGATCGAACCGTGAGGGTCCCGGGGCCCGGAACCGCGCGAAAACGCCAAGGCCGAAACAATCGCACCGCCCAAACCTCGAGGTTTTCCCGCGACAACACGAGGCGCGGTCCTCGTAGAGCTGACAGGAGCTGTCCCGAGGCGCGCTCGCCGAGAGTTGAGCAAGGACCGACCGTCCTGGCATTCATGTAGGCCGACCACGAACTGTTTTCAGAACAACTAATAGCCGATGCACTCAGATCAGACGACCCCAGCCAGAAGTGCTATTCGAACACCTCGTGCAAACCACAACAAGTTCTTAGACGATTCTTCCGTGGGACTATAGGCGAGCCAGGATGGTAAACGTTTTCTTACTCGGCGTTTCGACATTGGGCGTAGGAGGGGGGAAGGGGGGGGTCTGGCTCTGGACCTCTGCTTCGTGCGACTGCTTGCAGCAGTGCGTCCCATCTGGGAGGGGGGCTCCACCTGCCTGAAACAGGCGCCAAAAACAGCCAAGACCTGCTCCAGAAGGGGGGTGGGCGCGAGAGCCCGCGCCGATCGGCACAACAGTGAATCAGAAAACGATCACATGCTCCGCCACTGTTTGAGCGCCGCCCTCGGCGCTGCCCTTGGGCGGCGCGCCGCCGGGGGGAGGCGCCACGCTCGGGGCAAGCCACCGAGCGAGGCCGCAAAAAAAAGGCGCGCGATCTGCCCAGAGGGGCACCCTAGAATTAGGTCGGGCATGTCCTCCTACAAACGGATTCTGGAGGAAAATCCGGTAATAGGAAAAACTAGTCAACAACGATTCAGAAATAGTCCCAACCCCCCAAAATCGAAAATCATCACCAGACGATATGTTTACCATTTTTGAACTCTCCTCCTGTAGAGGGACACGCCCGACTTAACCCTTGAGACCACACGCGCACACGCACACACACACACACGCACGCACGCAAACGCAAACGCAAACGCAAACGCAAACGCAAACGCACACGCACACGCACACGCACACGCACACGCACACGCACACGCACACGCACACACACACACACACACACACACGCACACGCACACGCACACACACGCACACGCACACACACACACACACACGCACACACACACACACACACACACACGCACGCACGCACGCACGCACGCACGCACCACGCACGCACACGCACCCACGCACGCACGCACGCACGCACGCACACACACACATACATACACACACACACGCACACGCACACGCACACGCACACACACACACACACCACACACCACACACCGCACACCGCACACCACACACCACACACCACACACCACACACCACACACACACACACACGCGCGCGCACGCACGCACGCACGCACGCACGCACGCACGCACGCACGCACGCACGCAAGCACGCGCGCGCGCGCCGCCCCGGCTGGCCTCGGCGCCCGCGGGGGACCGAAGTGAACCATCAGCGTCGGGCGCGGGCGGCCGCTGCCGCAGGCCTCCGCGCGGGCGCCGCGGGGGTGCGGCCGCGGAGCGCGAGGGCTGCAAGAGGAAACAAGGACCCAGTAGGTGGTTAATTTTTTGGCGGTAATGCGCAGCGCGCGCAAGGGGGTAGGGGGATGGGAGAATACTTATGAGAAGGAGGCTGCTTCTCAGGAGGAGCCGGCCCTACATCTACAAACCAAGCCCACGCCTTCTAAGAAGCACGGGTGTTTCGAAGAAGCCAACCGTCCCCCCTCCCCCATACTCCCCTGTGCGAGCGGCTCAGATATGCAAAGGCGCAAGAGCTTGTTTTTTCGCAACCATCCCGTGGTGTTGGGTCCTCGGTTTGAAGAGACAGCGCCCCGCGTCCCTTCTCCTCCTCTCCTCCTCCCCTTCCCCCCCTTCCCATCACCATCACCATCATCACCATCACCATCACTACCATCATCATCATCATCACCCTCATCATCATCATCATCCTCATCATCCACTTCCCTTCCCCACACCATCGTCACATCACCATCACCCATCATCCATCAGCATCATCATCTGCAACATCATCCTCATCCACATCCTCCTCATCATCGTCATCATCATTGCTCCCACCGCCCATGTCGTCACACCCCTCACACGGTTCGTGGCCCCATAGGGAGCTCCACCGAAGGCCCCACTGGGGGTGTCCGCATGCGCCCCCCCCTCCATCGCAGGCCCATTTCGGCACGCCCCTCACACGGTTCGTGGCCCCATAGGGAGCTCCACCGAAGGCCCCAGTGGCACAGTTCGCATGCGTCCTCCCCGCCCACCGCAAACCCATTTTGGCACACCCCTCGCACGGCTCGTGGCCCCATAGGGAGCTCCACCGAAGGCCCCACTGGCACAATTCGCATGCGTCTTCCCCGCCCACCGCACGCCCATTTCGGCACACCCCTCAGACGGCTCGTGGCCCCAAGGGAGCTCCACCGAAGGCCCTAGTGGCGCAGTTCGCATACGTCCTCCCCGCCCACCGCACGCTCATGTCGGCACAACCCTCACACGGTTCCAGGCCCATGCCGGCACGCCCCTCACACGGTTCGTGGCCCCATAGAGCTCCACCGAAGGCCCCAGTGGCACAGTTCGCATGCGCCCTCCCCGCCCACCGCAGGCCCATTTTGGCACACCCCTCGCACGGCTCGCGGCCCCATAGGGAGCACCACCGAAGGCCCCAGTGGGGGTGTCCGCATGCGTCCTCCCCGTCAACCGCAGTCGCATGTCGGCACGCTCCTCACACGGCTCGTGGCCTCATAGGGAGCTCCGCCAAGGCCCCAGTGGCACAGTTCGCATGCGTCCTCCCCGCCCACCGCAAGCCCATTTCGGCACACCCCATCACACGGTTCGTGGCCGAGCTCCACCGAAGGCCCCAGTGGCGCAGTTCGCATGCGTCTTCCCCGCCAACCGCATGCCCATTTCGGCACGCCACTCACACGGTTCGTGGCCCCATAGGGAGCTCCACCGAAGGCCCCAGTGGCACAGATCGCATGCGTTCTCCCCGCCCACCGCACGCCCATTTTGGCGCACGCCTCACGCAATTCGTGGCCCCATAGAGACCTCCACCGAATGCCCCACTTGCACAGTTCGCATGCGTCCTCCCCGTCCACCGCAGGCCCATTTCGGCACGCCCCTTCACACGGTTCGCGGCCCCATAGGCAGCGCCACCGAAGGCCCCAGTGGCACAGTTCGCATGCGTGCACCCCGCCCACCGCATGCCCATTTAGGCACACCGTTCCCACGTTTTCGTGGCCCCATAGCGAGCTCCACCGAAGGCCCCAGTGGCTGCGCCCGCATGCCGCCCCCGCACCCATTTCGGCACACCCCTCACACGCTTCGCGGCCCCATAGGGAGCTCCACCGAAGGCCCCAGCGGCGCAGTTCGCGTGCGTCCTCCCCGCCCACCGCACGCCCATTTCGGCACACCCCTCACACGGTTCGCGGCTCCATAGGGTCCACCGAAGGCCCCAGTGGCACAGTTCGCATACGTCCTCCCCGCCCACCGCAGGCCCATTTCGGCGCACCCCTCACACGGTTCGTGGCCCCATAGAGCTCCACCGAAGGCCCCAGTGGCTGCGCCCGCATGCCGCCCCCGCACTCATTTCGGCACACCCCTCATACGTTTCGCGACCCCATAGGGATCACCACCGAAGGCGCCTGTGGCTGCGTCCGCATGGCTCCCCACCATCCATGTCGGTGCACCCCTCATTCCTCACACGTTTCGTGGCCCCTGGCCCCACATCGAGCTCCACCGGAGGCCCCAGCGGAGACTTTCGCCCCCCGTGGGCCTCTTGAAGCAATCTGCGAACGTTTTGCCGGTGCGAGAGACCCGCCAGAGGCCCTTTGTAATGTAAAATATCATTCACGCCAAGCGTGGTCCTGGACTGCGGCCGCCACGATGTGGGGAACGGCAAGAAAGAGGACGACGACTGGTGGCTGGAGCTTTACGCGTTGCTGTCGCGCGGCACGCGCCACGAGGACCTCCTGCTCATGTGGGCGTCGCGCATCGAGTTCTTCCTGGCAGGGCCGCCGGAGGGCTTGCGGAAGCAGCTGGAGCAGTCTGCTGCGCGTACAAAGCGGTGCAGAAGGGAGGCGACGGCCCTCGCCAGGGAGCTGGGACTCACCGCGTGTATCCGCGAGGCTTGACCTGAGGAGCGGCCCGTCCGAGCCCCGGCTTCTCTCGACGGTCTGACTGTTCGGCCTCGCGCCGCGGGCAACCCCTGCGCGTCGCTGGGGCCCTCTCGGGGCGACCAGCGCGCGTCGCGGGAATTCCGCGATGCGCTCTGCCCAGGGCGTCGCTCGCCCCCGTCGTCGCTCTGCCCAGCGGCCACAGCCTTGCTCGCTATCAGCTAGCCTGCTCGCTCTCTGCTCCGCGGAGCGGACGACCCGCGCGCGTCGCCGGGGCCCTTTCGGGGCGACCGGCGTCCGTCGCGGGGACTCCGTGCGGCGCCGCGCCCGCAGCCGTGGACATCGGCGCGCACCGGCAAAGAAGGAGAAAAAATAACGGGAAGGAGCCAGGCGCGATCCTCGTGAGGACCGTGCCGACATGGTGTTCGACATTCATGCACGTAGGTTGATGAGCACGCAGACTCGTTCACAATCAGACGCACTCGCGCTCAGGCTCACCCGTTCTCAATCTCTCGCACTCAGACCGATCGTCTGTGTTCGCGTGGTGTACCCCGCCACGCATGTCGGCACGCCCCTCACACGGTTCGTGGCCCCATAGGGAGCGCGGGCGAAGATTATATGCACAATGGCGGTATTCACAGCTGCATATGGTTGGGTCCTTCGCCAGGCTAATTTTTCAATCCGGCGAGAACCCAGGATTAGCCTGTGGCGGGGGCAGGTGCCAGCCGATAACCTAACCTTATCGTCTAGGGCAACCCCACGTATGCCCGCGCGCACCAGTGCTGCTTACGTGCTCTGGTCGAACCTGCGCAAAAGACGAGGTCAAATTATCCAGGGGAGGGCGGGTGGGCAAGATAACCTGAAGTACAGCCTTACCATAAAACTGGTCTGTAGACATGCTCGCGAAGGAACGAACTCGCGACGGGAAGTGTTTGGCAATGTTCGGCCTCACGGGGCCCTCGCCGGGCATCGGGGCCGTCAAAAAACGACTGGGGATGAAGCCCTCCCCCTGAGGAAAGGGTTAGGACTTCTGGGGACCGCGCGTGGACACAACATGACATCGCACGTCTAGGGCCGCAGAGCGGGTGGGCTGCAAGGATACCTTGAGATCCGGGCGCTCTTCGCACCTAGCGTTTTCGCCAGTATTTGGGCACCGGGACCATCACAGATCGATCGGGCTCGAGAAAGGCAGCAGACGGATGGTCTGAAGCGCTGGTCGCGTTTTCTCGCGATGCTCCAACATGTGCCGCAGCGTCGGATCTTAGGGATGATGTCACGATGCAGCCATCGCGCTACCAGAAAGAACGCTGGATCTGGTGCGTGCAAGACTCATATCCATATCCAGTGCCTCTTGGACTTTTTTGGAAGCGGCGCCACAAGGCCGAGGCGCACTGGATATGGATAAAAATCGAGCCTCTAGGGGGCAAATTTATCCATATCCAGTGCGCCTCGGGTTTCTTGGGAAGGGAGCCCGAAACTCCATACTGCAGTGGATATAGACAGAAGTATTGCCCGCATCTGGGGCGCAGGAGCTCTTCTGGCCAAGCAAAGAGGGCCACCGACCTCGATCTGAGGAGCGGCCCGAAGACCAGAGCCCCTCCCGAACCCGGAGCAGAAGGCCTGCCGGGAGCACTCGTTCGGGGGGGCAACCCCTGGGAGGTCTTCGCAAGAACGACTCGGGGCTATGAGGCCCGCTTGATGAGGCCATTGAGCACGGTTGGCGAGGACTGAGCCCGAGATTGAGCGGGATGACGCCGTATGGAACGGGACGACGCGGGGCTCGGCTGGAGTAGGCCGGTTTCGACCACGGATATGGGAGCGACGATGCTGACTTGAACGTCCCAGGTGCTGCATGCCCCGGGGTAGGACCAGAACGATGTCCTGGTAGGATTGGCTCAGCATGCGTTCAAGGGTTTCCAGCATATGTAGCGGCCTTCGTCTTTTGAGCCCATGCGGGGCAGCAGGACATTTGGGGGATCTGGGGAATCTTGGAGCGTGTATTCTCATGGCTTCTTTGCTCCTCTGAAGGGGGGAATGGGCGTGCGCATGCCGCCGCTTGTGCTGCCACTGCCGATGTCGCGGGGGCGCGTGTTATGCTCGCCCGCCTACCTGCACATGCTCCCGCTCCAGCTCCTGCCCTTCCTCATCCTCATCCCTGCTCGTCCTCCTTCTCCTCCAACTCTTGCTCCTGCTCGTCCTCCAACCACTGCTGTTCCTCGTCCCCATGCTCCTCCCGATGCTGCTCCTCAGCCGGCTGGCGCATAGGCTGGGCGAGAAACAAAGGGAGACACAACACATTCTCTGCACACTTCCCCCTTAGCATTCCGAACTACGTGCGCACTGGATCCCTGTCTGACCGCTGCCTTCCGGGCACTAGACGAGTCGCTCGAAGGACGCGCCAAGAGGACAGATCGAGTAAGTTCCCTGGCCTGCTCAGGGAGCCACGCCTAGCTGAGCCTGCCAAGCTGCCCCCCTCACACGGCACACGTTTCGACATCCGTCCAACCACGGCGCTCCTCACCCGCCAAACGGCCCTAACCCGGCACCAACATCGGTCCCACCCGCAGCGCCTACGGACTCCTCCACGAACAGCGCGATGAGGAGCGAACCTGCTCGAAGAGGGGGGAACTTCTGGACTGTTTTTCACAACGCTGGAGGCGTTGCCTGTGATTCGTTCTTCATTTTCCGCTCTATATTCGACCAGATAGTTAACAAGTCGGCACCCCACAAAGTGGGCGTCAGGCAGGCCGCATTATGAGATCTAATTGCACCCTCGCCGCAGAATGCCCTAAACAACATAGTCACAGTCAATCTAGCATGATACTGTGCTTTACATCGCGAAGGCCGCGCGGGAGACGAAAACCATTACGTTTGCGAGCGCTAATATGAATAGGAATGCGACTACGAATGCGAACCCTAACACGACTACTAAAGGGGTAATTATGGAGCAGGGCTTCCGATCTAAGGCGAGGGATGTATGGAGATGGATACCGGGATGAGGATAGAGATAAAAGGATTGGGATGGGAAGGGCATAATATTAGTATAGAGAGCTAGGGATAGGGAGACAACGGGAGAACACGGGGCACAACACGACTCAACAGGAGGCAACTGATGACATCGGGGACAACGAGAGAGAACGGGCGACAACGTGAGATAACGGGTGACATCGGGAGGCAACAGGAAAAAAGGGGGGAAACAATGAGAGGCAACGGGAGGCAGTCGGCGCCCGAAGGACTCTGGCCGGCCAAGCCCCCGCGTACGCGGCTGCCTGCAGCCATTTACAAGTCAGACACACAGCCGCACTCTACCTTGCTACAAACCGAACATGACGAGAACGCACAGAAAACAGGAAGGTGGCCAAAACGCTCCAACGTGCACACAGCACGGTGGCGGACATTCCTCGCTGGGCAGAGCGGCAGGGGCCCGCGTCGCACTCTGCGGATAGCGGCTGGAGGCAATCCCACGGGGCGGGCCGACAGGCGCCGAGGAACAGAAGCACGCCTCGTCGGGAAGAGCTTTCCCCCTCTTGCGGGCGGGGCCTGTCTCTTTTGTCTCTCTCCCTCCCCCTCTATGTCCTAAACTCTTCTTTGTTCTGCACTTGCTCGCCCACGGCGATCAGTCGTGCTTTCTTCGAACCACTGAAGTTGCGCTTGGCCATCGCACCGCGGCGATGCACTGGGAAGGCGGGCACTTGGGGGCACAACGGAGACGTGGCGGCTGTTCATCCCGAGCCGGTTTTTGGCAGCCTGAAAGACCAGCACGGGCCCCTGGAGGTAAACATCGTCAGAAATATAACAGCCACTTCAATGTTTTCATCAGGGGGGCAACAAGATATAGTAATAGTCGTAGAAGGATTAGTAGTAGTGAAAGTAGTCATAATAGTAGTAGTAGTGGTGGTAGTAGTAGTAGTGGTAGTAGTAGTAGTAGTAGTAGTAGTAGTAGTAGTAGTAGTAGTAATAGCAGTAGTAGTGGCAATCGTAGTAGTAGTAGTAGTAGTAGTCGTAGTAGTAGTAGTAGTAGGAGTAGTCGCAGCAGTAGTAGTAGCAGTAACAATGCTAGAAACCGTAGCAGTAGCAATCGTATTAGTAGAAATACTAGCGGTAGTAGTAGTTATAGTGATCGTAGTAGTAGTCATGTTAGTAGCAGCCTGCGTAGTAGTAGTAGTAGTAGTAGCAGTAGTCGTAGTAGTAGTAGTAGTAGTATAGTAGTAGTAGTAGTAGTAGTAGTAGTAGTCGTAGTAATAGTAGTAGTAGTAGTAGTAATAGTAGTAGTAGTAGTAGTAATACTAGTAGTAGTAATACTAGTAGTAATAATAGTAGTAGTCGTACTAGTAGTAGTAGTAGTACTAGTCGTAGTAGTAGTAGTCGTCGTCGTAGTAAGTAGTAGTACATTAGTAGTACTTGTAGTAGTAACAGTAGAAGTAGTAGTAGCTGTAGTAGTAGTCGTCGTAGTAGTAGTAGTAGTAATACAAGTAAAAGTAGTAGTAGTAGTAGTAGTAGTGGTAGTAGTAGTAGTAGTAGTAGTAGAAAAAGTAGTAGTCGTCGTAATCGTAGTAGTGGTAGTAGTAGTACTAGTTGTAGTAGTAGTAGTAGTAGTAGTAGTAGTAGTAGTAGTAGTCGTAGTAGTAGTCGTAGTAGTAGTCGTCGTCGTCATCGTAGTAGTAGTAGTAGTCGTGGTAGTAGCAGTAGTAGTAGTAGTAGTAGTAGTAGTAGTAATAGTAGTAATAATACTCGTAACAGTAAAGGTACTAGTAGTAGCCGGCGGTGTCGTAGGAGTAGAAGCGTAGCACCCCGCAGTTGCGGATAAGAGTCAGGGGGCGGCGATGACGTCGTCAGACTGCGAGGTTCTGAAGAAGCCCGCCGCAGGAGCCCAACTTTTACAAATTATGCAGTGAGCCCGCCTCAGGCGCCGATTTCTTCGTTTAAGCCATGTGAATGGATCGCGGGGTGGGTCGCGGGTGGGTGGGTCGCGGCCTGGCGGCCTGGGCCACTTATGGTTCGGGTATACGTCGCGTGTGGGTCGGGGGGGGTCGCGTGTGGGTCGCGGGGTGGGTCGCGGGTGGGTCGCGGGTGGGTCGCGCGGGTGGGTCGCGGGGTGGGTTGCGGGGTGGGTCGCGGGGTGGGCCGCGGGGTGGGTCGCGGGATTGGTCGCGGGTGGGTCGCGGAATGGGTCGCGGGGTGGGTCGCGGGTGGGTCACGGGCGGGTCACGGGGTGGGTCGCGGGGTGGGTCGCGGGGTGGGTCGCGGGGTGGGTCGCGGGGTGGGTCGCGGGGTGGGTCGCCGGGTGGGTCGCGGGGTGGGTCGCGGGTGGGTGGCGAGCGGGACGGGTGGGGGACGAATCCTCCCCGGGGTTCCCACTCTAGCCACGCACCCGGGAACAAAGAATAAGCGTTCGGCCCCCTCACTCTGATAATAATCACAGTGGTAGTAGTATTAGTAGTTGTAGTAGTAGTAGTAGTAGTAGTAGCAGTAGTAGTAGTAGTAGTAGTAGTAGTGGTGGTCGTAGTAGTGGTGGTCGTAGTAGTGGTAGTAGGAGTAGGAATAAAAGCAGTAGAACTAGTAGTAGTACTAGAAATAGTGGTGGCACAGGCGTAGTAGTAGTAGTAGTAGTAGTAGTAGTAGTAGTAGTAGTTGCTGTTGTTGTAGTAATCGTAGAAATGATAAAAATAATCGTCGTAATAGTGGTGGTAGACGTACCAATAATGGTAGTAGTGGTAGTTGTAGTCATACGAGACATCGTCGCCGTGGCCATTCGAATCGTAGTAGTAATAATGGAACGAGTAGCCGTGATAGTCATTGTAGTAGTCATTGTAGTCGTAGTAGTCGTAGTAGTAGTAGTAGTAGTAGTAGTAGTAGTAGTAGTAGTAGTAATAGTCGTAGTAGTAGTAGTAGTAGTAGTAGTAGAAGTAGTAGTAGTAGTGGTTGTAGTAGTAGTAGTAGTAGTAGTAGTAGCAGTAGTAGTAGTAGTAGTGGTAGTAGTAGTCGTAGAACAAATGGTAGTAGTAGTAGTACAAGTAGTGGAAGTAGTCGTCGTTGTGGTAGTCGTGATAATGGTAGTTGTTGTAAGAAGCAGCAGTGGAAATGAAAATAAAAGTCATTGGCTTAGAAGCAGCAGTAGAAATAGTAGCATAAGTAGTGCAAGTAGTACTTACTAGTCGAAGTTGTAGTAGAAGATACAGGAACCAACGAAACAGAAATAGCAGCAGCAACAGCAGTAGTAGTAGCAGTCGTCGTCAGGATACCATGGGTATTGGTAGTAGACCAAATTTGAATATCATAAGTAAAAAAAACGAGTAGTGGTAGAAGTAGTGGTCGTACCGTATTGGTCGTATTAAAAGTGTGAATAGTAAGAAACGTAGTAGTCATAGCGGTAGTAGTCGTAGTCGTAGTAGTAGTAGTAGTAGTAGTAGTAGTAGTAATAGTAGTAGTAGTAATCGTAGTAGTAGTAGTAGTAGTAGTAGTAGTAGTAGTAGTAGTAGTGGTGGTAGTAGTAGTAGTACTAGTACTAGTAGTAGTAGTAGTAGTAGTAGTAGAAGTTGGAATAATAGTACTCGTAATCGTGGTCGTCGTGGTATCAGTAACAGTAGAAATGGTCGCAGTAGTAGTAGTTCTAGAAATCGCCGTACCTGTAGGCGTAGTAGTAGTGGTCATTGTAAAAGTAGTAGTAGTCGCAGTAGTAGTAGTAGTAGTAGTAGAAGTAGTAGTAGTAGTAATAGTAGTAATGGTAGTACTAATGATAGTAGTAGTAGTAGTAGTAGTCGTAGTAATAGTACAAGGTAGTAGTAGTAGTAGTAGTAGTAGTAATAGTAGTAGTAGTAGTAGTAGCAGTAGTAGTAGTAGCAGTAGTAGTAGTAATAGTACAAGGTAGTAGTAGTAGTAGTAGTAGTAGTAGTAGTAGTAGTAGTAGTAGTAGTAGTAGTAGTAACAGTAGTAGTAGTAGTAATAATAATAATGGCAGTAGTAGCAGTAGGATTAGTCGTAAGGGTAGTGCTAGTAATGCTCGAAATTGTTCGACACTCGAATGAAACTAATATTTTATTACCCACCAATAATGCTTCTGTGGTCGGAGGTGGGGGGGTGAGATCGAAATGGAACGGAGAGCCCCCCTACCGGGAAATCGGTTTCGGTTTCGTGTTCATGCGTGCCGTGCGTGCGGGCGAGGCGAAGCTGCGTGGGCGGGCGAGAAGTGTCCCGCCTCTGGCTGAGGCGCGGCCAAACTAAATGTTTCCT